GCCTCATCCTCACACCAGCTGGCACCCATTTCAGCCCTTGCTTCTCCGGGCGCTGGCGCAGTCTGGGAAGTCAGAGCCACTGGTTCCTGGGGTTCCTTCCCTGCCTCGTGCACCTCAGAAGGTACTTTGGCCCTGGCCAGTGTTGCTCAGTGGTTAGAGCATTGGCCTGCGGACTGAAGGATCCCAGGTTCGATTCTGGCCAAGGGCACGTACCTCGGTTGCAGGCTTCATCCCAGGCCCATATTGGGGCATGTGCGGGAGGCAGCCAATCAGTGTCTGTGTGTCTCCTGCTTTCTCTGAGAAGCAGTGGAAAAAATATCCTTGGGTGAGGATTACAAAAAAGGAAGGTGCTTTGGGGCGGTTCTGAAGGCACATCCCCAGCTTAGCCACCTGTTCACCACAAGTGCATGGAGTGGGGGCTGTGATGCACAGCAGGATGGGGGCCCTGGGTCCTAGAGGGGTTACCCGGCCCAGTTAACTCGGTGGGTGACCCCCTCTCCCTCCCCAGGGCCGGTCCTTGTCCTTCAAGACCTTCCTCGTCTGGGTGCTGGTCAGCATTTACCAAGGTAAGCGCCCCGCTGCTCCCACACACACACGGGGCTGTCTCCTCCCAGATACACTCCAGCAATCACATTCCCACTGCTCCTGTGAATCGTCCCTCCCACCACGGATCTTCCTGACTCCACACTGCTCAGCGGCCTGGGCGTTGTTTAACCATGAATGTCCCCTAAAAACCTACCTGTTTCTAATTAAGTGTAAATCCAGAAACGTGTTAACCAGCTCTTAACACCACCATGGCTCTTTCAGGGAGAGACGGCGGGACATGGGGGATCTGAGTCCTGTCGGCACAGGTTGCTGGCTGCCTGTTAGTTGCAGACAGACGAGGTGGTTGAAAGTGACATTACCAGCAGAGCAGACAGTGCGTCCACCCGCAGACCCGCCCCCCTAACTGGAGTGGAGCATGGCTTCTCCGGATGCTTCATAACCCAGCGTTTAAATTAGTCGTTAATCAGCGGGAGGTTGGGACACGTAACCCTGCGTCTCCAAGTGCTGTGAACATCAGCCAGCTCTTCCCGACCCTTCCTCCAGCTCCTTACACAGTAACAGGATGTGCAGTCCAAACAGTCTCCCGTAAAAGCCCACCCGTCCCCTGCTGTCTTCCAGGCGGCATCCTCATGTATGGGGCGCTGGTGCTCTTTGAGTCTGAGTTTGTCCATGTCGTGGCCATCTCATTCACGGCCCTCATCCTCACCGAGTTGCTGATGGTGGCTCTGACGGTCCGGACGTGGCACTGGCTGATGGTCGTGGCCGAGTTCCTCAGCCTCGGCTGCTACGTGGCCTCGCTCGCTTTTCTCAATGAATATTTTGGTAAGTTGCCTTGGGAGTGTTCTTGGATAATTGCCTGTTACCGATTTTTAAACATTTTTTATTATTCACACATTGTCTTAAATTGCAGATCCCAGTAAAACCCACAGCAGAAAGCTTCAAACACAAGCCTGTTTGGGAGGGAGGGGGGGTGTTCCAGGTGTGAAGTCTGCTTACCTCCGTAGACAGTTGACCCCTCCTGTCAACATCTCTGCCTTTTAGTCATTGGTGGTTGGTCCCCTGGGAAACACTTTCAGGGTTTTTTACAGTGTTAAATACAGCCTGTGGCCCAGCCGTCCTCTGGCTTGGACCCCTCCACACAGGCCGCCCGTGTTTTCCCTGCACTCCTGTGTCTCAGAGTCGTGCCTCCTGCCAAGGAGGCCTCGCCCCACCTCTGACAAGTCTGCGGGTTTCTGCCACTTGAAGTGAAGGCTGTAAACTCCGGTAGGAAAGTCCCATAGCCCAAGGGGCAGGAAGGACAGGCGGGCAGTGACAGCCCTGCCTGCTGCAGCCCATTTGGCCGTCCCTGGAGAGGGAGGAGAAGCTGGGCCTGGGTCCTCTGGGCAGGGCTCCCTGTCCCTCCTGCTGCCCAGTGCTCCCTCCAGGACCAGCACACAGGTGCCTGAGTGGCCGCCCGCTGACCGGCCTTGGGTGGCTCTGGTCATACTCTGATACTGTGCTTTCATGATTCCTCTTATGAGAATTTATCCCTGGTGCCAGGTAGCGCATTTTTTTTTTGTTTTTTTTAAATGTTGTCTATTGATTTGAGAGAGAGGAAGGGGGGGAGAGAAACATGAGTGATGAGAGTCATTGATGGGCTGCCTCCTGCGCGCCCCCTGCCGGGGGTGGAGCCGTAACCCCGCCCGCGCCCGCCGGGAATCGAACCCGGTCTCCCGGGTCTGGGCCGGTGCCCCCGCGGAGCCGCGCCGGTGGTGAAGCGGGTTTTACTGAGACCACGCGGGGCCTCCAGGGGCACGAGGTGCGGGGGCTGCGCCCCGCGTGCCCGCCCCGCGCTCACGCCCGTCTCCCCGCAGACCTCGCCTTCATCACCACGGCGACCTTCATGTGGAAGGTGTCGGCCATCACCGTGGTCAGCTGCCTCCCGCTCTACGTCCTCAAGTACTTGAAGCGCAAGCTGTCCCCGCCCAGCTACTCCAAGCTGACCTCCTAGCGCCCCGCCGCCCCTGGACCGCCCGGTTTCCCTGGAGAAGCCCGGCCCTCCCGGCGCTGGACTCCCGCGGCCGCGCCGCACGGAGCCTGTTTACCTGCAGTCCCCCGGCGCCCGGGGCGGCGGCGCCGCAGACACTCCTGCTTAACTCAATAAACCAGATGCTGAAGCCGCGGGTGTCCTGCGGCTCCGGACCGTGCGCCCGCGGGGTGCCCCGCGTCCCCCCTCCGGCCCGCGCCGCTGCTCAGTCCAGCGGGGGAACTGAGGGCGTTTCTGCGCCGCGTCCTGGGGCGGGCAGGGGGTCCCCAGGGCACCGCTTCTGAGGTTCTCACGCGGGACGTCACGCGAGC